ACTAGGCATGTGCTTAAAACGTTATTCCATGCTTCCGAATGGGAGAGCTATCAGACTGAGCACATACGTCGATATACCCACGGAAATTGGGCTTCCCCACTTCATTCAAGACGACAATATGGACGCAGACGGCCCCATTTATGGAAACTTCAAGCTCTCTTTACAAGCGTTGGTTTGCCATCGAGGTAACTCGGTTGACTCAGGGCATTACATTGCTATCGTCAGAGGCACTAGTGCTGGCGCACTTCCTGCCAGCTCTCACGGATCGGAGCCTGCCTCAGACGCTCCTAGATACTGGATGCGCTTCGATGACCTGGCAGAGGAACGCGTTACCCTCGTCGACATTGAGCAAGCGCTGAAACTCGAGTCTCCATATCTCCTGTTCTATCAGATACTGCCCATCAATGAGGATGCCGCAGAAGCAAATCTGGCCACCAAAGTTCCTTCCTCCGATACATCGGAAGATATCGGTGAGCTAGACGCCGCGGGGATTGTGCGGAAGCTCCAGACATTGTCGACAGACAATACTGACTTTGAACTTCCGTCGGGATATGTCTCTGGCCGGCCAAGTGTCGAAATTACCACGCCAGAGGACCCTGCAATTGGACTGACGGATGTGAATGGAAGGCAACAAAGCGCAGCCTTTTCGTATCACAGCGATTCAACCAATAATCTTCAAGTGCATCCTGTCTCTTCAAAGTCGCCACGGATCATGCCAAAGGACTTGGAAGACAGAAATGCCTTTCCGTACTCCAGGCGCGAGTCCAGATCAGCCAGAAGTAAACCTACCAGTCGTGCCGGGAGTCAAACTAGCGAAAACAGAATTAGTGCAACATTCTCTCGCTTCACGTCACGCCGCAGCAAAGAAAAGTTCACGAGTGACGGCTCTGCGGAAGACGACGTCGACGATTTTGCTGTGGACAATGACATGGCCGGTCAAACTGGAGAGATGTCCGCGGGGATCAGTAGGGAGAGCAAAGAAAAGAGTCCCAGACGCTCCAAGGATCGCGAGCGTTCTAAAGGCAAAGCGAAGGATCGGTCGCGAGAAAGATTTGGAAGAAAGCTGGAACGGGAGTGCATAGTTATGTGACACTTTTTCATTCATCGCATCTACTCATTGCTACTATTTTGCTTGGAAGCCTAGAGGGAAAGGCACTTGATACCCAGCCATGAGTTACGATGCCTGCCTTAGCGAGAGCGCATTCGCTGTTTCGTTTTATCTTCCTGTATGTCCATAGAGTACATGTTACACTAATCGAGATAGGTGAAGAGGAGATTCACTAAGGATTATTCGAAACTAAAGACTCCCCTAAAATAAATGTAGTTCATGGACTTCCTTTGTACAGAGAGAGCCCTAAAGCATAGATAAGTTTCTGCCTGGGGCATATGGCACTCCGCCTTCGTCAAGCTCCCCCCATCTGGGTGATCATTCATTCATAACTAGATGATCAAGGATCGACAACAATTAACCGGTGCTCCTTCTTACCTGCCAGGCTCATCGAAGCCTCGCTATGATTTAAAAATTATTCCTTCTGTCTTCATAAACGGCGCATCATGGCGCTGAATGCATCCAGCGGTTATGTTGCTCCCAGCAACTTGGCCGAAGCTCCGGATGCCTCACTCTCCATGTTTGATGTCCGACGTGTTCAACTGCAGTTCCCATTAGCTGCGGGCTTCGTCGCCGCACAAGTTGCTAACAATGTCCTCATTCTGGCCTTGTCGACGAATCGCATCCTCCGTATAGATCTAGATACTCCCGAAGACATTGACGGTAACTGGTTCCCTGTCAAGCTCATGCGCTCCGTCCCGCTATTCTCGTGGCAATGCTAAGGCGTTTTGAACTAGATATTGACCTTCCAAAGAAATCCTCGGAAATCGGAGTGATTCGTCGAATGTTTCTTGACCCCTCTGCATCACATTTGATCATTACTACGACCCTTGGCGAGAACTACTACCTTCATACTCAGTCTAGGCATCCCAAGTCGCTGTCGCGTTTAAAGGGCGTTTCGATCGAGAGTGTTGCCTGGAACCCGTCACTACCAACGGCTTCGACAAGGGAGATCCTCCTGGGCGCTACAGATGGTCAGATTTGGGAGACCTACATCGAGCCGTCCACGGAGTTCTATCGGCGCGAGGAAAAGTACGCCCACTCAATCTACAAAGTTTCGGAGGGGTCACCTGTGTCTGGAATTTGGACGGAACTGGTGCCTACGACGCCCGAGCAGAGACGAGTGCTGATCGCGACACATGGCAAGCTACTATATTTCCAGGGGCGGGCAGGGAGGCAAGGGAGCCAAGGTATATATGCCGACCTCTTTCAACGGGAGGCACCAGTGGTGCACGAGATTCAGAAACCATCTGGCGCCGCGCCGTCGTCGCTGGTGATCTCCGCCACCACGGTTGATGGGCATAATGCGGATAGTTACGCCGAGAAAGAGTTCGCCTGGCTCAGTTCGCAAGGCATCTACCATGGTCAATTGCCATACGCTTCAGGAAAAGCGGAAGGGCCCTTTAAAGGTGCCAGGATGCTGCCGCGTTCGATGTTCCCCGCGACGGAGTCAGCTCGTGGAGGCAAGAAGCTAATCCAAGATCCTATCACCGCTATGACACTGTCACAGTGGCACATTCTAGCCCTTGTCGAAGGGAAAATCGTTGCCGTCAACCGCATGAGCGATGAAATCATCTATGAGCAAGCAGTGCTCGAGCCTGGACAGGGTGCCTTAGGGCTCCTGACAGACTCTATGCAGCACACCTATTGGCTGTTTACCAGCCAGGAAATCTTCGAAATTGTTGCCGAGGACGAGGACCGGGATGTGTGGAAAGTCTTCCTGCAGAAGCAGATGTTTGACCAGGCACTTGAATATGCCCGCGGTAGCGCGCAGAAGGACGCTGTGGCTACTGCTTCTGGCGACTTTCTAGCCAGCAAGGGCCGTTACCTAGAAGCGGCCAAGGTTTGGGGTAAAAGTAGCAAGGGGTTTGAGGAGGTCTGTCTGACCCTGATCAACCGTAACGAGCATGATGCGTTGCGGAAATATCTCCTTACCCAATTATCGACATACAAGAAGTCATCTACTATGCAAAGGATTATGGTTGCGAGCTGGCTGGTAGAGGTTTTCATGTCGAAGTTGAACGCTCTTGACGATAACATAGCTACCAAGGCTGAGCTAGCGGAGGGAGCCAGCACGGAGGATATCAAAGATGAGCTGAGCAATGTTCGGGTCGAGTTCCAGGAGTTTGTGAACAAGTACAAGGCCGACTTGGACAAGAGAACTGCGTACGACATTATCAGTAGCCATGGCCGAGAAGAGGAACTGCTCTTTTTTGCGACGGCGACTAATGACTACAATTACGTCCTGTCGTATTGGATACAACGAGAAAAGTGGCCAGAAGCACTCAATGTCCTACAAAAACAGACGGATCCCGATGTCTTCTACAAGTATAGCAGCGTGCTGATGACCCATGCCGCGACCGGGTTAGTGGATATCCTGATGCGGCAGACAAACCTGGAGCCGGAGAGACTTATCCCTGCGCTTCTCAATTATAATAAGACTGTGAACGTTCCTCTCAGTCAGAACCAGGCCGTGCGATACCTCAATTTTATCGTTGTCAATCACCCCAAGCCATCGGCTGCAGTACATAACACACTGATCTCAATCCACGCCTCGAGCCCTTCAGCTTCGGAAGCGGGCCTTCTCACTTACCTTCAATCTCAGCCGTCTTCGCCCCCTCCCTACGATGCCGACTTTGCGCTGCGGTTGTGCATTCAACATGAACGCGTTCAATCATGCATCCATATATACAGTGCAATGGGGCAGTATCTTCAGGCCGTTGAGCTGGCTCTGCAGCATGAAGATATTGAACTAGCCGCGATCGTTGCGGACAGACCGGAAGGAAATGACAAGCTTCGCAAGAAACTGTGGTTGCTTGTAGCGGAGAAGAAGATCCGGCAGCCAGGCACCGGGATCAAAGATGCCATCGAGTTTCTGCGCCGATGCGAGCTGTTGCGCATTGAGGATCTGATTCCTTTCTTTCCGGATTTCGTCGTCATTGACGATTTCAAAGACGAGATTTGCAGTGCGTTGGAGGACTACTCGCGGCACATTGATGCACTGCGCCAGGAGATGGACAATTCGGCTCAGACTGCGCGACAGATCCGATCGCAGATTGCGGCGTTGGATATGCGTTATGCTATTGTGGAGCCCGGGGAGAAATGCTGGACTTGCTCGTTACCGCTGCTCAGCCGCCAGTTCTTTGTCTTTCCGTGCCAACATGCATTCCACAGCGACTGTTTGGGCAAGGAAGTCCTCGAAGGCGCAGGCGGGAAGAAGAAGTACATTCGTGATCTGCAGGCGCAGCTGAATAAGGCCGATATATCATCTTCTCGAAGGGAGGAGATCGTGAAGGAGTTAGACGGGCTGGTTGCTGAGGCGTGGTAAGTTTCTTTTCACCAAATGCAACAAAAAACGACTAATTCGTCTATAGTATTCTCTGCGGTGACCATGCGATCAAGCAAATTGACAAGCCGTTCATCACTGATGCTGACATCGATGAATGGGCTTTGTGATTATCCTACAGACTCCGTGAGATTCGAGGCCTCTGACCTGTCGTTTTCTGTTCTTGTATTTTCTTCCTCAGCGCATGCCGATTGATTCCCCTTTGGTTGCATACTCTTGGATTGAGCGTTCAGCATGATGTATAGTTAAGGGAAGGATTCATCTGTATTTGAGACAGTGTACCTATAATTCTCAAATGGATTGAAGATGATGCATTACGTAGCTTATTACATGCTCGCCGTTTGCGAGACAAAGAATATATCTGTCACACTCATAGCCAAGAACGACCATCAAGGTCCAATTAGTCAAGAGCAAAACTATCATACAAGCGTTAGGATATCTCAAACAAAGCGAAGGAAGACGAGACAAGTTCAGAACAGGCGATTCCCCCCTCAAAAGCATCAATCGTGACAGAAGCCATATACATGGATATGCATACAATAGTACTCATCGTAACAATTGCAAGAGTTCCAGATCCTTCGCCACGGCGGGACTAAACGGGGCGCAGTCCTCCAGGAACCGCAGCATTTCGTCGGTCCACCGTTCCCAGCCGAAGGGGAGGGTCTTGCGGAGGCGCGGATCGGGGTGGTGGGAGATACAGTAGAAGAGGAGGACTTGGCCGAAGAATCTGTTGACGGTGTCTCAGTATATGCAGCGCGGCGCAGATTCGTGGCAAGGCAGGCAGGAGGGTACACTTACTGGGAGCAGAAAGCGAACTTGATCGGGATGCAGCTCTTCATTTTGCGGAAGATGCCCCCGACGGGGGGCCAGTCCATTGCGTGGCGGAGGCCGTTGCGCATTTGCTCAAGATCGTGGTCTGTTACGTGTTGCGGGATCCGGAGCGCTTTGTACAGGTACGGCCGGCCGATATGGAAATTGGCGATCATGTAGCGGCCGCGCAGCATTGCCTCTGTGACTGCTATGGCGGGAGAGAGGGGTCGGTTGGGATCGATGGGGAGAGGGGAGACCGGGGCCGGAGAAGGGTTGGGGTCCATCGGGGTGCTGGGCAGTGGATCGGAGAATTGCAGGGCGGGAGGGAGGTTGATGCGCCATTGCTCGAGTTGATGGCGGAGTTCGGCGTTGACGGCGGGGAGGGGGAAGGTTCCTGAATCAGCTGAGGGCGGTGTTAGGTGTTAAGCAGCGCAGGAGGAACAGATGAGAGCGAAGACTTACAGTAGAAGTATAATGAATGGCGGATGCGGGTGAGGATGATACGGTGGGCGACCTGCGCGAGGAAATGGTACTGGAAGAAGGATTCGTCTATTTCTTCCGAAGAGGAAGAGAAGCGAGCTGGCACGAAGCCGACGGATTCGAAGCCAATGAATTTAGGAATAGGGACGAGTTCCTCCAGACGTGAAAGGCCACTGGGTGGAAGATGCAACTCCTGTACAAGGATGGTCTCGTTCATGAGAGTGTTCCAGTATACCCGTGATTTCATGTCTCCTTCCCACTCGTCGAAATTGACATCGTGGCTTCGATTGTTAGTGGCTGAAAGTATTGCAGGGCCGGAAGGAAAGTCAAAGGACTTACTTGGTTAGCATTGACAAACAGCACGTAGCAGCGCGGTGAACCATGGCCCAGGAATCCATGGGACGAAGGATCTGGCTGTAGTATACGCTTCGATATCAGGTCAGCAGGCGCTCATCTCGTGAAGAAAGGAAGCTCTTACGAAGACAAGAGGTAAAATTGACAGCTCTGAATGTCGTTGTCGCACATCAGGAAGCCGATCCGTCTCCGGGCTTCATTGAAGAACCGTAAGCCTGGCGGCTCTTCGTGGATGACCCCCATCCACTCCGGCGGTTCAAAGCGACTGCTTCGAGTGCCTGGCAGAGGATAGTTTCCTTCCTGATGGCTCAAGACAGCCAGACAGCCCAAGGCCATCACATTAAGAACCAGGCAGGTTTCAATGGTGTAGCCGAACCCGCTCTCAATCGCTGCACCAAGAGTGAAGGCGAAATAGAAGGTCTTGTCCATGATCGGCGTGAACAAATTGAAAGTAGCGAAGAAGGCGTCCGAAAGTCCCTTGATCATAGCAAGGGGCAGTGCTTCCAGCCAGTCCTCTCCGGCCTGCGGAGGATATGGATATGTGTACATAGGCAGATGGGATCGCTTCATCTCCAGGTCAATCACGTAGTTCCTCCCCAGTCGTTCATGGGCTTCGAGAAGTCTCCGGGGCAAGATCTCTCGAGCCCCAGGCCACAGGATCACGCCATGTTGACTGAAAGAGATCGAGACATGGCCATTGGAGTCGGTCGTATTTGGCCGCTCATCAAACACAAAGTCATCCGGCTCCCCCATTTTGGGGGTGAGATGCTGCGACTGCGAGTTTGATAAAGACGCATGCTTGTCACTGGCGCGGCCACTCTGTCTCGGGGTAGCAGCATCTCTCAGGCCCTCAAGGGCATGAAGCATCTGTTGATGGAGAGGCTGCATATCATCACGAACAGCCGACGAGATGTGCTCGAGCTTTGTCTCCAGCCGATGGAGGGTGCTCATGATCAGACTAAGCGACTGATCTCGTCTGGAAAGAATGTCAGCGACAAGAAGCCCCCGCCAGGCGCTGTCATCCCTCGGGACTTACTTGGACGACTTGCGCTCATTGTAGACGCATTCTAGGCCGAGCGACTTGCACAGTCCACATTTTGGGCGCGATTCATCGCACCTGGTCTTTTTGAGGCGGCAAGTCTCGCATGCCTATACTCGTGTCAACGATGGACCTGACGGTATTACAAGGCAAAAGACTTACTACAGTGGCGATAAAGTTCCTAGGCTTCTTGACGGACCCGCTTATAGATTGGGGTGGTTCTGGTGACAGGAGATCATTGATGGGCAACAGGCCATTGTGACTGTTATCGATAGACTCTGGTGGTGAGCCACCGTGGAACAATGACTCCTCGTACGGACGCTTGCTCATATTGCATGGTTGGCAAGTCGGCGATCCCTTTTTTACTGAGAATCACTGATACATCATTGAACAATCTATCCGATAGGCGCCCGTATTATTTGATGATGATAAACAATGTCTTTTAGATACTCTCCATGGGATAAGATATCAGCCATCGCCATCCCGAAGCGGAAGAGTCTTTTTTCTCCGTCTCGGCGGTGGGTGCGGCCGATGCCGACGAGCCAATCACATCGGTCAATTCTACATCTCATCCATATCTCTCTGGATTACTGATATCAGATAGAGTACTTCAGCTTTGTGGAAGGTCTCTACAGTATTGCATCAACGGGTTCTCGTGGATGAACGAAACGAGCATCCGCCGCTGCTGTTGATACACTATATACGTCTGGGACATCAAGACCCCAGGATTATCACCAAGTCATCGACTCGCTGACAAGCAGGCGAGAATTTCCATGATAGTGACATGCGAAATCTGCCATGTTTCAATTGAAAAATACTTGATAGAAGATGTCAGACGGAATGATCAGTCGATAGGTAACATGCGAGATATGTCGCAATGGCACCTTCCAATGAGACAATACTTACGTAGATAGCGCAGATTACATAGCCGAGCCAGAATGAGAGATTGTCAAACGAAGATGAAATCAGGTGGAATGCTGTTGAGGGGACACTGGCAGTTGCTGGTATGGATCGTGATGATAGTGACATATGCATATTCCTGCGTGCCTATGCAAGAGGTTATTCGTGGAGCTGACTCGAGAACCGTTTACTGACGGCAAATACGCTGCTTATTGTGTGACAGCCACTGAACCTCCTGGACAGCACTGCGTAGAGTGCCAGCTATGGAAACCAAGGAACGGTCTCATATTGTCATTTATTGCTTCTCGTCACTTGGTGGAATGTTACACCAGATTATACCATCATTCCTTTCAGGGAGTAGGAGAGTAGTACTAGACTCGTCATATGAGGGTGAAGGATGGATCAACGTGGGAGCATCAGTGGGATAAGTCTCATGTAGGATGGCTACTGGTGATTGTACTCCCTACAGAAGGGGAGTATCCGTGATGCAGCCTGGATGCGCCTTGTAGATCAATCTGCTAAAAGGTAGTCAGCACAATGGAAGGGGTCCTGAATGCAAATGCAGACATGACAATAATCAACAAAAGCAAAGATGGACAGTTCACTCATTTAAGAGAAACAATGTGCGATTATTGGTCTTTATGATGTATGATAATTATCACTGTCAATCTGGAGAACTGCATATGCGCTGATGATCTTTCGAGGTGGGTATCAGGACTACCTCCGAGAAGGGGCCGTCGGCCCTGGCCCCTGTTCTCGTGAACTGTTATGACCTCACGCCATTAAGTTACATCAATTCTTAACAGCAATCCTACAATAAATACTGCTTATAGCTGTATTCAAGTATTCGCACTCCTTACAGGTGACCATCTGGGAGGTTTCGGGACTACGAGGAAGGTGCTAGGAAGACGTTACCTTTCTGGACTCACACAGTCTGGGAGGCTAGATTAGGCGCTCACCGTCTCAACCATGTCATTATCTATATCACATCCTGTGTACGGGAAATTGTAGACAGTATACAAGCAAACATGTCTAATCTCGTCACTTTGACCCCAATTCGTCGCATAACTGGTGATATTAAACGAACACCATTGCTAATCACGCGTCGTCTCACTCACTCAGCATCTAGTCCTCCATTCAGTCCCGTTCAGACTATATCAGAACATTCAGATTTACAATACGAGGAATCTTTTGGTTACTCGAGCGGAAGATGGCTGTGGGACGAGGACATGCAGCTCCACAATTGATACAAACGGTTCAATGTGTCTGAACTCAAGGCTACTGCTTCCAGAATCGTCGGAGCGAAGGCCTGCGTATCTATGACGAAAATTGCAGAGGGCGGATTCAACAAGATCTTCCGAATTGTGATGGATAATAACTCGACAGTGATTGCACGTATACCATATCCTAACGTAGGACGTTCGTGCAAGACAACTGAGTCGGAAGTTGCGACCATGGAGTTTGTAAGTCGTCTTTTCACAGAGAATGAGGCACAGAAGCTTACCTCGACCTTTCGCAGGCTCGGAATATTGGAATACCTGCCCCAAAAGTCTTCGCTTGGAGTGGAAAAGCAGACAACCCTGTGGGATCCGAATATATACTTATGAGGAGGCTACTGGGAGGCAAGGCGGCGAGATCTGGGATGATCTGAAACTAGCTGATAAGTGGAAAATTGTGGAGGAGATTGTTGCCATTGAAAAGAAGCTCCTATCTTCTCTATCGTTTACGCGGTATGTCAACTCAGATGCTGGTTCTTTAAGTCTGATGGGGAAGCTTAGTTATGGAAGCCTCTACATCGTGGACGATGCGTTTCCGGGTTGCGAAAAGGCTGAAATTGCGAGTGATGCATCACAGTCGCAGAGGAAGGAAGTGGAGAGTTTTTGTGATAGGACCAGTCTCCAATAACGACTTCTGGGACAAAGAACGGGCATCTTTGGGAATTGATCGTGGCCCTTGTGAGACTAGATATTCCCCCAGTAATGTTATCGTTTCTCAAACATGTTTACAGGGAAGTGCCCCAAAGATTATCTCAAGGCAATAGCTCGGCGAGATTGCTTGGATTAGTCGTTATTCGACTGCAGCGACTCCAAAGTCCACGACATGACATGTTTATGGTAGCAGAGGGCTACTCGCAAAGCTCCGCTGATGCCCATATCGAGCTTACAACAAGTTCCTGGATGTTTCCGACTATCTTTTGCCGAATAATAAAGGGCTGAACAGGTCTACCATTTGGCAATGGGATATTCATGCTCCGAACCTGTTTGTTGAGGAGAACAAGGTCATGGGCTTATAGACTGGCAGGATAACTGGGCTGGCGCTTTCTTCCTCCAAGCTCGACGTCCGAAATTAGTAGCTTACAATGGAGAAATCATGTTGGGATTGCCCGGGAACTACAAGGATATTGCGGATGAAGACGAGAGAGCTCGGCTTCGAGCTCAAGTGGAAAAATCCATTGTACTCTGGGCATATGAAACCAACACAAAGAGGACAAATCCAGTCCTCCACGAGATCTTTGACTTACCTCAAGGGCGTACAAGGAAAGAGACAGTAGCATTTTCTACAAACACATGGGATGACGATATCATACCCTTCAGGCAGTGCCTCATCCCTGTTGCGCGGTATGTCTCCCTAGCTATTCTTTAGATTCAATGCGACCAACTAATATACGAACCACAGCCATTGGGACGAGATGAATAACAAGGTTGCTTGTCCGATTAACGTCACAGACGAGGAACTGAAGACACATGATCGAGAGGGAGAAGGTTGGAATGAGCAAGCTGACTTCTGGGACGCACTGCGAGGGTTTGCGGAGCGTGATGGCTGGACTTCGAACGAGAATTACGAGCGTGCACTTGAAACCTTCGCTGAACTTAGAGAGCTTGGATTACGGGATCTAACAGGAGATGAACGAGCGCATTTTCAAAAGCAAACGCGCTGAACTGCGAGAAATGCCTCAGGATAGATCATGCTTGTCATTCACTTGAGTCGATATTCTATTGCAACCGATCCACTCATGGCCCACTTGCCATGGGATGTCCTTAAGAAGATCCTATGTTGGCAGTTTAGTCTCAATGGCAAAGTTGGCTTCAGATCTCAGAAAATGCTCACGGTAAAGAGCTATAGAGAACCCCGATTCTTGAAACCGGGGAAACACAAGCCACTGAGCCAGCCATACTCAATACATATCCTCCGCGCTCACGAAACCGGGTGGCACCGTGGCAGGATTGGCGAAACAGCATCTGATGAAGAGAGATTTCCTCTTACTGCAGGCCTCAACTCTTCCACGGGTCCTATCCGGTCTACGGTGTACTGAGACTCGAGAGTCAAGAGACCAGAGCCAGAAATCCAGCAAAGTTCCCCGGAGCACGGGGAATGTATCCACTAGGGAGTTCCTCTCTAGATAGACACCAGATACTCTGTCGTCTGCACAACTTCCGGCAATGATCCTAATTAGCTTTGGAAGATTGCAGGTGATGTACGTCCGGTGTACGTATTACCCCATACGGAGATAGGGAGAGATTGTAGAAGTGGGACTGTGTACGAAAGTAAGCGCACTTAAGTTACCTACATTAAGTTTGGGCCTCTTCGGACAAATCACATCATTGAGAGATTAACCCCATTTTGACATTGCCCAATGCCTATCATCATGGGATGATGGGTCCCGAGGAATTCCCCTATCGACTGGGGCGTCTCGAAGATCGTGCGGGGTAATTGACAGACTAGTAGTATTTGCAACGGCAGGGTGCTGGATCGCTCTCATTTTTGGGGTTCCTAGTGCAGAAAGGAAGGCTGGTATTGAGATTATTGTAGATCCTCTTCCGCCACATGGGAGGAGTGTTTGATCATGCGACTTCCTTTCGTAACCGTCAGGAGGTGGGAATTCCTGTGTTGCCTTCCTCTTGCGCTATGGACATGTTGCACAGGGCAATGACTAGTCAGAAAACATACAATCATGCCCACCACGATGGATTCTTATTCTGGCAGGGAAGGTAGACACGCGACACGAAGATAATCGCTTAATTTCATATATTTTTTGTTTTGCCCGGTTGAGCAGAGATATGGCTGATCTGGAGGATGGAAATGGTGTCTCCTCTGTATTCTCCGACCCAACTGCTATCCTCAATTTTGTTGAAGGCGCATTCGCTACGGAATACATGCACAAGATATCTATGTAGGGTAGATCCATGCATTGGGGGAATGTTCTGTCCCACCAGACCAGCCAACCATACTTGCCCGTAAGTGTTTACAACTATCCTGAAGCGACTCGACTAGGAAGCCTATGTAGGCCACTTTAGAGTTGTACATAAGGAAAACCTATGCAATCAGATAGCATACAGCCCAGCACAACCTACGGATGGGTGCTGAATTGACTCCATCCGGGGTTATTCTTGGTCAGCGCCCAGCCGCACTGCTAATGGACATAATGGAATGGATTAGCACTCGCAAAAACATACGTATCTAAACGCAATGGCTGAAGCTGCTGTGGTGAATAAGCGTCCATCATTCCAGCCATGCATGCAGAATCTGCCAAACCCAACGGTCAATACGAGGAGCTGAGTAGGCCAGAAGACGTGCTCAACCGAAAAAGCAGGGTAGACACTGACGGCAGGTTGGACTACTCCTCTGGTTGGTTTCGACTGGCGTATACTTTGTGAGTGAAATCACTTCCCAAACACGGACGCCTGGGTCAATCGACGGCAACTGAAACTGTCAGATGCCGAGTATGGTTAAGGAGGAGTGCCATGCTTGTCAACCCGCGGCCAATATTTGAGGAACAGTCCAGTATCATAACCACAAGCATAGACGAGGGAGGAGTCCAGCCATCTCTGAAAATCCTAGCAAAGAGGCATGTCCTTGGGGGCGAAGTGACCAGAGTATCAAAACACCCCGCTAGCAGGAATCTCCAATGAAACGACTTGATGCCACCACACTCAACAATCAACTAGAGGCAAGCATCAAGCTCATATTACCCAATTGGGATTGATTAAATGACTTGAGAAGGTTGCCGGATACGTAGGGAGGCATAGAAAGTGATGGAAAGTCATAGAATCACAAGAGTGCCGTCAGCCAACAGATAAGTGCGCTCTATTTGTAGTGGCAGCGGAAACAGACCACGAGAAGATGGTGTGGTGAGTTTTGTATGGTTGATCCGGAGGGAGCTTATCGCGTGATTCCAGCTAGGGCGGTTGATCAAGATAATGTCCGCGATTGGAACCGTGGTAATCGGGGAAAGCAGTCTGAAGTAGCTACCAAGTCGGACTAGACAAGTCTCCAGAAGGTACTGTGTACCTGCTTATCCAGGAGGTATATGTCATGCTCTCCATGATTCGTATGCACCCTCGACCATTGTCCAGTCTGCTGTGCTGAACACTGTACCTTGTGAGTCGGTATCAGGGCAACAACAGGAGGTGCATCATCCAGAAACACGCAACACCAACTGCAAGGTCAAAAAAGTCTACACTTTTCTCCGTAGAGACACATGCATACTGAAAGGAAGCGGTCAAGGTTGGGCTAACGTAGGCTGCAGCTCAAGGGCCATTTGCCCGTTTCCTGCTCTCTCACCGCCGAGATTGCGTACTTTGATGGAAAGTCAGTCCGTCCATTCCTCTGCCAGCTGTTGCCAGGCATGCGCATCCAGCATGCATGCCAGCCACGGTCAAGCCGTTTTTCTTTGGTCCTTTTCCTTGACGACGAGTCGAGATTGTTGTCTTCACAGTGATAAAAGCGGTAGCCAGTTGAATATTACGATGGGACCGACCATACATTGTTCATTCTTCCCTCCTTGATGAATGTGTCAAGTGTCAGCCCGCCCGCTGCTGTTGAAATCTGATACATTGGTTTCTCATGTGTAATTGCTTTTTGAAAACCCCGCAAATTGATACAATTCCATGATTGCATGACTTGTGTTTGAGAATCCCGCGCGCCAAAGGCTGTTCAACGTCGATTGCGCAGATCAGGTATCAGTTGTGCGACACAGGGGGTATTGCTTTGCATAAGCAGTGCTGGGACCATCTGAGTTGGGGCCATTCGCAGGGAAATCTTATTGTTATGATCCAGGTACATGTTCCTACATAGTAAGAACTGGCCAACCCATAAATCTTCGCCTGTTTGACCTTAATTAATGGTGATATAATCTAGACAGGTACGACAGGGATGTCAATGAAAATACCCCAATAATAATATGATGCTAAATGCTGACATCAGTTCCTGAAATGACGTTTCCCCATGCTTTCCTTTGGCTCCATGAAAGATATATGATAATTACCTTAATCCTTGACTCCCCCAGGCTTTCTCAGGTCTCAGACACTCGAGCCAAGTGATCATTGGTCACTGCGCTGTCCGATTTGGTGTGGCGTCATGCAGCCTGAATTTAGTATCAATTCGGCGGCTTCCTATTGGCTCAGATTCAGTAGCGGCAGTGCATGTAGCCGAAAATGGAGTAGCCTTACCGCCACCGTTGCTCCGCCATCGGCGAGGGAATTTACTGAGGGTGGCCCATGATACATCATCGTCTTCCCCCATCCGGTTGACTGGTTCACCACCGAGGGTCTCGCCCAGTATCGACTCCCACATCATTGTTTATCCATACTCAGCAGGCCCATGGGCAAAAGCCATTGCTCAAGAGGGAAGCTATGGTGCAATTGCAAATGAAGATAGAATGCCAACTCGTTAGACATTATGGTGTTTTAGAGATTCAACTACTTATGCTCCCAAGGTAGTTTGTTTTTTCATCGCTCTAATGAAGCAGGTGCTCTTAAGACCCTGTTTAGTCTCTGGACCTGCAGGAACTTGTTTAGCACCGTTGTCCCCTTTGATTACCTGGTACCTAATATGTACGATGGACGGAGTATTTCCAGGCATATCTGATTTGCTACCCAGCCTACCACGGCTACGGACCTCAGTTAACCAAGAATCAAGTCAGAATAATAGGTATCTTATGCTTCTATTAGCTGCTCCACGGCAGGTCTATCAAGCAAACTCTGTTATCTCTAATGCATAAGCGCTGATCAGTAGCAAATGTACACCTGGTCCTGGTAGTCTGGGACAAACGTAGCAGATTCGTAAGCATATCAGACTGATCATGAAAGTCGCAGCCTAATAATAATGACTCGGATCCGAATTTATGCATAGGGAGGCTACAGAAGACTCGTAGAATCAATTGACAGTGCTGAGGAATGCCTAGAGGATTCTAATTCCTTTCAAATACCTAGGTGATAATGATTTTAATTACTGGAACGCTACGGACTGATACATCGTCATGTGGCCAAAGGGAACAACAATACATTATCCTTTTTCAACAACTAACTAAAGACTCAATATTGGAGCTAGTGATTTACATTTTTGTTCCATAGTCCTAATAATGAGGATATCCAGATAATAATGGAGATGATAGTGATGATGACGAGGATGGGAAGATTTGCTGTAGTTACCTGACCATAGGATAAATCATTCAGGGGGGTGTGGGCCTATTTCCGAAAACAGACTCGACCTGCGCCCATCTGCCAGCAATCAAGAAGGGTGGGCCGACCGGAGATCACCCCTTCGCGCGTATTGTCGTTACCTTGTTACCTAAGATACTTTACCTTCGTTACCACGAGGGCGACGTATTGGTATGGAGAGTATGACAGCAGATTGGCTCAGACGGAATCCACTAATGGCTCCGCCCTGATATTGTCCAGTCACAGGACGTTTCGCGCTCATTCGGCCGCTTTCTGTCTGCCACTGGCCTGTTACCTTACTTCCTGCTCCCCAAAGGTTCCGGGTGCCGTCTTTGCCTTAGGTAACGGAAGTATTTGCCTGCTGCTGCTTCCCACCCCTCCCTTATTATTACATAACCATACCCGGCCCAACAACCTGACATTATTGCTCATCGCTGGTCTATAGTTTCAGTCATACAGTACCCGCAATCTCCTTATCCATCCTCTCCCCATCCCTATC